AATTCTTCAGCAGGATAGTGCTCCTTTTTATACTTTAGCCTCCTCATCAAAGTTCCTGAAAGCAAAGAAGGTCAAGGTGCTCCATGATTGGCCAGCCTAGTCACCAGAATTGAACATTATTAAGCATGGGTAAGATGAAGGAGGAGGCATTGAAGACCATTTATGTTGCTGTATATGTATTTAACAGTTGTGTATATTTAAAGTTACTGTAAAATATACAGCAATTTTCACAATGCAACTTTAAAATACAGTAACTTATTACATAACTGTCCTACAGTAAAATACAGTTCATATTACAATTAAATACTGTGTAATTTACAAGAATCGTTGACAGTGTATATTATATTATATTATATTATTATATTATATTATATTATATTATATTATATTATATTACATTATATTATATTATATTATATTATATTATATTATATTATATTATATTATATATTATATTATATTATATTATATTATATTATATTATATTATATTATATTATTTCATATTATATTATATTATATTATATATTATTATATTATATTATATATTATTATATTATATTATATTATATTATATTATATTATATTATATTATATTATATTCAGGGTTTATACAGGTTTCTTCATCACATTTAAAACTTTTAAGACCTTTTTAAGACCATTGTGAATGAAATTTCAAACTTGCACAAGGCTAAACGCTAAGGATTTTTTTCTAATGTCCCAGTTAAAACATTAAAAACTATTGTTATTGTAAGGAAGATCATTAAACCATATGTTTATAACTAGAAATATAAATGAACTTGGTAAATATAGTTAATAAATAAGAGGTAATAAATACACTTTTAACAACATTTTGTTTGGCCCAATTGAGTAGCTTTAAATCGACATAGGGAAATTAAGACCTGTTTAAAATGATTTAACACATTTCAGTAAATGTAAGACTTTTTAATGCTTAAAAATTTTATTTTAAAATTTTGAATAATTAAATTAAATTTAAATTTTATTTAAATAAAAAGTACATAAGGTATTTTCTTTATGTGACAGTTATCAGCTTGATATTATGTTTTATTTCTATTATTATTTTTTTCCATTCAAAACCAGTGCCATTTTAAGGGATGTAAACAATAACTATGGTCCTAAAGTTTCCCTGTATTAAATTGTAATTTCCACATCTTCCAAGAATCCCAAAATATCCACATATTGATAAATAATGATATGACAGCTGTTTTAATGTTAAGTTATGATTAAATTGCCTCTTGTTACAGTTACGAAGTAGTTTGACAACAAGCAGGAAATGTTTGTTTGCCAGTGACATCGCCACATTGAATTGCTCTATAATATTATACCTCTACATAGATATAATATCTATAATATTATACCTCTAAATGTGTCAATCCGTAGATTTTTATTCTCTATTTACTTGTAATTGGTGAAATTCCTATATTATTATTTGTGTTTTAAATCCAGGAACATAACAGTGCATAAAACATAAAGTACAATATCAAGTTCAACTGCATTATAAGAACATGCATCACTCCAGTCAGGTTAAATGCAATTAACCAAGGTATCCCAGACACATGCATCAAATGCTAAGTTGAAAAAGGTACAGTTTTGCACTGTACAGTGTGTGGGATTGCCCAAAGGTACAGGAATTTTGGTAAGAGGTGGCAATGATCATTTTTGAAATAGTATCTATAAAACTGCCCATGAAACCAGAAATGTTTCTTTTAGGAATTACTTAAAAGTGAAATGTTGACTGCCACAGCAGTACTCGTAAACTTATCGATATAAGGATACTCCAAGCAATGCGTCTAATAGCTTTGCACTGGAGGAAAATGGAAAAGCCACCTATTGTACAGTGGATCAAGAATATGTTCTCCTGTTTAGCTATGGAAAGGATTTCAAATTTATTAAAACTTATTCAAATTTTAGCAATTTATTAAATGATACAGGAAAGAATTAAATAAACTTACGACTTAACCTATCTACATATTCTCCCTATTTCCAAAGATTTATTTAAACAAGAAATTTTCATATTGATCTGATGCCTGCCTTCTATAGATGAGATTTATTTAAACAGTTTTTTCCTGTTTTCTCTAAAATAATCTTTTACTAATTTAAACAACCTGTACCCCCTCACCTTTTTGTCTCTTTTTTGCTTTTGTTTTTCCCCATTATTTTTGTTTTTTCCTCTCAATTGAAAACAAATATGCAAATATGATTGTGATGTTATATTGTCATATGTTTATTACATCTCAATAAAAGATTATTTAAAAAAATACAATATAATACAATATAATCTTCACCTTAATTAAAAAAAATCTATATTATTCCAAAACTCCTGAATGTAATGACATGATTAAAATAAAAGTATCACCGTTTCATAAGCAACTCAAGTCAGTGTCAACACTAAACTTTTGTGTAACTTTCTTAACAAGATAAAACCTGTGAAGCAGTTTTTTTTTTCTTCTGATTCCGGTTGTAAAATCTACAATTAAACCAAAACGTGTTTGTGTTTCTTTAAAATGTCCACAAGATGGCAGTGGAACACTAACCATATAAAGCGCTGCGTAAGCCAAACATTTACATAAGCTAATAGGAGATAATCTATATGAAGACAATTTATGGTTGCAAATATACTGTTCAAACAAGGCACGACCTGTCTTTAAAGCAAATAATAAAATCTCAAAATCTTACTTGTATTTTTCTTGCTGTGTGTACACTTCCAAAGGTCTAGAAAGATTAATCGCTGAGAAAACACTTGACTGTGTGGAGCTCCTATACTGAAATGGTGTTGATATTTTTTAAGGTGGTCATAACGGGTTATGTCTTTATGGCAGTCAGATATCACCAGCTCGCATATCATAAACTCTACATATATATATCTGACCTTTGCGTAATGGAAAAGTCAGTTAAAGAACTTACTGTCTGTAATAGATTTTGAAAATGATGAAAAATGTAGTGTAGTCTGTGGATAAATAATTAAATAATATTGACAACTTGACAGCTTTTAAGGGGTTGGTAACTTTGGTAACAAGTAATACAGTAATTTATTTAACAAGATGGTAAGTGTACATTTCAGTTTGCACATAATACAGTTACACGTGCAATATTGTATATAGTACATGTACTGTATAATATACCTGAAGGGCATCTGATGTGTAAAACATATGTTGGAATAGTTGGTGGTTCATTCCACTGTGGCGACCCCTGATAAATACGGCTCTTAGCCGAAGGGAAATGAATGAATAATTGCTGTTTATTTTAAAGATCTAGGTTTTGGTAGTTTTTATTGTAAATTTAGTTTTAAGTACATCAAGTTAAACTACATGAAAGAAGTGTTGCCTTGAAAGCTAATAGGAAATAAATAGGCTTAATATTTATTTTATTTCAGGTATATTATGTTCTGGGTCATTTTGAGGCATTTAAAAATCCAGTTAACCTAATGATTATTATTATAATTTTTTTTGACATGTCTTATATTTTAATTTACAGTAGTTTTGTTTACAATCACACATGTGGCTGATACTTTTATTTGGATGCAAATTGATTTGCATTGGTGGCCTAGATCAATGGTTCCCAAAGTGAGGGTCGTGGCATAATGAGCAGTGGTCGCTTAGTGATTTCCAAAAATCGAATTCTTTTCATGAAACTATTAAAATGAGCCTATTTTATCCATATACTACATGAGACAAAAATAGCATTTAATAGTTATAAAGCAACACACATTTCCAATTTCTCAATGGCTTGTGACCCCTGAGGTCTCACTTCGTTAGATTAAAGACACGGCAATAGGGTCAGATGCAGCAGATTGATTTCATGAAACCAGGGTAAATTTTCTGACACATTTACAGCAATGACATACAATACACTGCTTTACGACTGAACATGGAGAATGATCTCCGAGCGGCGTTCTCCAAAATTAAAGAATAAACGGAAATATTAGTGTGTGTGAGCCATTTTGTGTTTGCAAGGTTTGTATATGTATAACCACCTCAGAGGATATTGGGGGTCACGAATCACTGGCGTTGTTATTTTGGGGGTCGTGGGCTGAAAATTTTGGAAACCACTGGCCTATATTTTTATCATTCATTTATTAATTTTCTTGTCGGCTAAGTCCCTTTATTAATCCTGGGTCACCACAGCGGAATGAACCGCCAACTTATCCAGCAAGTTTTTATGCAGCGGATGCCCTTCCAGTCGCAACCCATCTCTGTGAAACATTCACACACACACTCATACACTACAGACAATTTAGCCAACCCAATTCACCTGTACTGCATGTCTTTGGACTGTGGGGGAAACCGGAGCACCCGGAGGAAACCCACGCGAACGCAGGGAGAACATGCAAACTCCACACAGAAATGCCATCTGAGCCGAGGTTCAAACCCGCGACCTTCTTGCTTTGAGGCGACAGCACTACCTACTGCGCCACTGCGTCGCCTATAGCTTGAACAGTTTAAGTATATTTTACTATAGTTTTGCTGAAATGCTTTTAATTAATAATTCATTTATTATAATTTTTATTTGTTCATTTATTTATTTATTGCAATATGTGAGAACTGTTCATAAAAAATATTGTTCATAATGTGATTATCAGCATTTTGTGATTTACAATGAACCCATGCAACATTTAAAGGCTGATTCTACATCAAGTAACAACACAACTCAAGGCACAAGATTAATGTTTCTTGAGAAGCAAATCAGCATTTAGAATGATTCCTGAAATATTACATGACACAGAACTGAAGTAATGACTGCTGCAAATCAATCTTTGGGATGAATCATATTTTCCAAACAACAGTTAGATTAAGTTAATATTTTCACACACACACACACACACACACACACACACACACACACACACACACACACACACACACACACACACACACACACACACACACACAAACACTTTTAAATGGTAGTGTGCACAGCAGACTATCAGACTATAAGCCCTGTGCATCCTCAGCTGACTCAGTGAAATGTCAATGATGGCTCTCCTGGGTGTAAATTGCTGATCTATACCAGAGAACAGTGTTTAAGCCTCCATCATTCTAAAGGTGAAATCAAACTGGACCAGCCTTCCTGAGCTCGATCAATCTCTAACCTTATCACAACCCCCGAAAAACAAACACTATCAGTTCCGACATAACCAAAGCAAACTGATATTTAAACAAACACCATATTGCGGAGGAACACTGTAATTTGAAAGTGACATGGTCCTATATTTAGGGGATTTTTTTGGCAGTTCAGCGGAGAAACCTGTAATTGAGCAGACACTTCCCCTCTCGCGCGCGCGCTGCCGCATTACGCACAGCACAGTCTACCCTTTCTGACGCTGTCGGGCGCGTATTAGGGTTACAGGGGTCTTCGAGAGACCATATCAGCCTGTTCAGCCCTGGGCGGTGCAACACCTCTGTCAGCTCTGCGCAGTTATGTACACCAGATCGAGGATTTCTGGTGATCACACAAATTACCACGGACACATTTTTGGCTTTGCACCAAACGCTTTAATTTTCATCTCTGAAATCTGAAGCCTGCGGGCGAATGGTGCTTAATTACAGAAGAACTTAATTTTGAACTTTACGGATTTTTCTTGCGTTGGAATACTGAAACATGACCTTTCTGCGCGCGTCCTGAGAAGTGATTTTTGCGCAATAAGAATCACAAAGAAGCGGAGCATGGAGAACGGCACTTTCAGCAACGGGACTTGGACTGATAACAGTGTCGAATACAAGGTGGTGAGCATCCTATTAGTGATCCTTATTTGTGGAGTTGGAATTGTTGGGAATGTTATGGTCATTCTTGTGGTCTTGACGACCAAGCACATGCGTACCCCGACTAACTGTTACTTGGTGAGCCTAGCAGTTGCCGATCTCATGGTTTTAACCGCAGCCGGGCTGCCCAACATCACCGAGATCCTGTTCGGCGGTCAGTGGGTGTACGGCTACGCCGGGTGCCTCTCCATCACTTATTTCCAGTATCTGGGCATCAACGCGTCCTCCTGCTCCATCACAGCCTTCACCATCGAACGCTACATAGCAATTTGCCACCCGATAAAAGCGCAGTTCATGTGCACCCTCTCCAGAGCCAAGAAAATCATTGTGCTCGTCTGGGTCTTGACGTCCCTCTATTGCGTTATGTGGTTTTATCTGCTGGACACGAGGGAGAAAGTTTATGATAACGCTGTTCTTGTGACGTGCGGCTATAAAGTGTCCAGAGAACTGTATTTGCCTATTTATTTTACAGATTACGCGGTGTTCTACGTTATCCCGCTCTTGTTAGCCACTGTTTTATACGGGTTGATCGCAAGAATCCTTTTCCTCAACCCACTCCCGTCGGATCCCAAGGAAAGTCGAAGAAATTGGAAGAAGGAGTCGTCTGTGCACGGGAACTCCAGGAGTTCATCCAACAGCACGACTGTGGCTTCTCGGAGACAGGTAAAGTGCTGGCTTCATTAGTTTTTTCATTTAGTTTTTTTTTTTTTGCTCAAAAGTGAGTTAGTTTTGTGCGTAATTGCGCGCGCGCGGAGTTCAAAACAGCATTCACTGATTCGTGAATCTTTATGCGTTGATCTAAGTAAAGATTACTCTAAAGCTATATGGGTGTTTCCCAGTGATGGCTGTAACTGGAAGAGCATCTGCTGTGTAAAACATGCTGGGAAAGTTGGTGGTTCATTGCGCTGTGGCAACTTCTGATTAATAAAGGCACTAAGCCGAAAAGAAAGCGAATAAATAGCGTTGAAAATAATTTAATACAGGACATGCAAAAAATGTTACAGGCCAACAGGGACTTTTTACATATGTTAGAGATGCCATAAATGCACTTCAATTATTCACAACTGAGAAGTGAATTAAAGTACAACAATGCAACTAATAACATACTCTAGTTCCACAATATTAACAATCTTTCAACAAATTACACCGTTTTGAGTCTCACGGTCAATCGATTAAATGAAGAACAATCGTCTCTTGGGTTAGTCCTTCGAGATTCTGAATTTGGGTCTTGTGCGTTTTTAAAGAATCGACTCATTTGAATCATTGGTAGAATTGAAATAAATTGAATGCATTTCACATAGTAAGAGTTATCCGTTCGGGAATCGTACTGCTTTTGGCCTCGTGCTGCAGGAAACATTTTTGTGATCTAGAACCAGAACAAAGACGCTGAGAAATGAGATGAGTTGTGATGTTGTGATGGCTCACATAGCCTGAAGCAGGTAATGGTCTAAATGCAGAGTGAAGGCAGAGACTCTCTGATAAACTCACAGCGACTGCACTTGTGCTGTTGTTGTGTTGCCCCAGGGCTCTTTGACCATGCTGAGAAAACACACCTTTCATGACCTTCCGTAAAAAAGGTCTTAAAGCTATGAATTTTTCCCTGGCTCTAAACCTGTGTGTTCAGTAAATGAGCCGTGACATGTTATGGTGTGTTAACACTTTTGACAACAATCTAGCCTAGCATACAGCAGCTGCACCATGATAATCATGATTATACGGTTTAGAAAGTCCAAGATTAAGTGCGAAATTAAAATGAGCATGTTATTTAAATAACATTAAAATTAAAAAACTCTAATTAAAAACGGGTATCCGGTTAGCTGTTTTATCACAATTTCATCTAACACAACCAGATGTATTAAAAAGGATAACAATGTAAATATGCAAGATTAAGCATTAATGGTTCAGAAAACAAACAAAATGGAGGCTATAGGCCTACCCTTATTGCATTATAACACTACTATAAAGTAGGGCTGGGTGATATGGAAAAAATGCAATCTTGATAATTATTTTCCACATTAAAGAATAATGATTTTTTTGATATAAGTTGTTAATGCTTCCAAATTTAAAAGAGTACCCCAACCAGGGGCTTGGCGGGCATTATTGGCGGCATATTAATCACCTGTTTCTAAATGGTCTGTTCTCTAAGTGATAGGGCATATCCCCCTGTTCCCCCAGGTGCTATTCCTCTGACCCCAACAATGACTGAAGCCACAAAATTTGAGGGTCCATTAAATGGCATAACATATTTTCAACCGATAATTTTCGGTGGCTGAAAAATTCGGTACATCTCCACTATTAACACACTTTTAGATTCCCATTGTTGCACAGTTCTGCTGCATGATTGGCTCTTAAATTAATACAGAGTAAAAAAAGTCCTGAGCTTATCATTGTTAATGACATACATTTTATTGCAATTCTATATAATATCATTTATCGGCCCAGCACTACAATAAAGTACACTAATAATATTTCAGTGTATTATGTAATAGTAAACTTTCCCAGTACTGGGTTGTGGATGGAAGGCCATCAGCTGCGTAAAACATGCCGGAATAGTTGGTGGTTCATTCCTTGACAAATAAGGGTCTAAGCCAAAATATGATTAATGATTGCAAAAGTAAACATGTTAATTATTTAGGCCTTTCCTTTGTCTTTTTATACAGCACAATTGCCAAATTAGCAAGTCATTTTAACAGACATTACAATAAACTGACATAAAATGTGCAAAAACCTGGTAATATGCATTATGCCAGTACAAGCATGTATATTTTTATTAATTATTTGATGCTTGATGATACTTAAATGATAAAAAAATAAACAATAATATGTCTTTAAATCAACTTATCATATATATTTATTACATCTTAGTGTTATATGCGTTCAACAGTCAGCTTTATTAAATGAAATGAGTGCAGTTAACTCAAAATTTACTGAAAGTTAATTCTACTCATTTGAAAAGAGTTTTGAACTCAGTGTTGAAGGTAATTTTTAGTATCAAATAGCTCATTACTTTAACTTAAATGGAGTAAGTTCACAGTAGTCATATAGATTAGTTTTGAGTTTGAGGTCGAGTTGCCTCAACTTATTGTTTTATTTATTTATCTATTTGGCAGACACAGTGAACATTAATTATTATTTCTGCCAATGCACCAGAATTAGCCCGTAGGCTATTTTTCATCTATTGTCCCTTAACAGCCTAGAAAAAAACAATACAAAAATTATACAATTAATCAAACATAGTTAAAAAGTACTAAAATAGACTTGGTCATATAGATGTTAAAAGATAATATTTACAAAATAAGGTAAAACTCCAACATTTGCACAAATGGAAACATGCTAGTTTCAATTTAATCGGAATGATGACACGTCTGATTCTCTATAAACCAGGTTTTTAAATGTTTTTTGAATATATTAAATGAGGTTATATCTCTGATGCTGCCAGGGACAGAATTCCACTCCTGTGCAGCTGTAACTGAAAAGGCACCCTGACCAAAGGTACTTTTCCGGAGTGGGACAATACAGTCTCCTCGGGCTGCCCCTAGTGTTTCTCTGTTTGTGGTGTTCCTGATGTCTAAAAACTGACTGAGAGGTGGGGATGACAGACCATGAATGATTTTATACAACAGGCAAATTTGACAGTACTCAGTTGGTTTGAGTTCTCTTTATTTATCAGGTTTTACTGTGCTCAGATTGCTTCATTTACTCAAATGGATTAAGTTCACATTACTTATTGGGATTAGTTTTTGAACTTAAATGGTTTGTTGCAATCAGTTTCCTCAAATGCTTTGAGTTACCCTAACTTATTGGGTTTTACAGTGTACTTATCTCAAAACATATGCCATCCTATAGGTGACGAAGATGCTGGCGGTGGTGGTGATCCTCTTCGCTCTGCTCTGGATGCCATACCGGACGTTAGTGGTGGTCAACTCCTTCCTCAAGGAAGCCTATCTGGACACCTGTTTCCTTCTGTTCTGCCGTCTCTGCATCTACATGAACAGCGCCATCAACCCCATCATCTACAACGCCATGTCACAGAAGTTTCGCGCCGCCTTCCACAAACTATGCCACTGCAGGCCTCAGCGCTCAGAAAAGCCCCCGGCGTACAGCGTGGCCCTCACATACAGCGTCATCAAGGAGACATCCAACGGAGAGAGTCCAGACCACTACACCACTGAGCTGGACGACATCCGGGGGGCCGCAGAAGATCTGCTGCCCGAGCGGAAGAGGCTGTGCTTTAAAGAGCCTGCTAAAGACACACTGGCAACAGCTTGACACGGTCAGATGAGGTTGTTTCATTTGTAGTGTTTCACAGTGCTGCTGAGTGAAATAGCATTTTGACAATCACAGATTTTTAGTCACAAATTTAAAGCTAAGAGGATTTTATTCATAGCATTTGAAAGTAGATTTACGGTACTTGTCAGAAGTTTGAAGTGATGATTAAAACAAAATGGTTTTGAGTAGGGATGCTTCGATCGATCGGCCAGAGATCAGTATCGGCCGAATACCACATTTTCATGACTCGATCGATATTCGCTAATCTGGTCGATCTCATGAACCGATCAAAATTGTTTGTCTATAAGATTACAAGCAGAGATCAACACATAAGAGCTGAAATCTTTTTACAAATCAAAACTGAATGTTCTCTGTTAAGTTCATTAAATTGTGGCTGGAAATATTAGGGAAATAAAAACAATTGTTTAACTTGAATATTTAATAACTATTGTAATATATTTATTGCAATTGACAGTAGTTTATGGACTTATTTCCTTTTTAGTAAAGAAGAAATGAATTTTGAGGTGTGCATTTTAATTCCTTATATGCTCCAAACTTAATTGAGACATGTTGAATTCTTCATCCATGATTTGCAATGTTTTCAAATTGCTTCATTACTTTTTAAATCTGTTTTATTAATTTATTCTGTAAAGCTCCTTCTGACCATGACATGTCCACACTAAATGGTTATAAGGTACATGTTTAAGGAATTATATGCAGAATCTTTAATTTATTCTCTGAGGTAAGGCGAGATCTCCACTTAAGTATCACACTTAGACTGAAAATGTGCTTTATGCATTATAAAGCTTGAAGCATCAGAATCGGTACTCTGTATTGGCCGATCACCATGACAAGGAATTGGTACTCGGTATTGGCTGCAAAAACCTTGATTGGAGCATCCCTACTTTTGAGGAATTTATTTGTTTATAAATGCAGTAACAAAAAGGAACAGTGTGGAATATTGTTAGAGTATCCAATAACTGCTTTCTATAGAAATTTGTTTTAAAAAAAATCTAATTCATTTTCTATGATGGCAAATAGTTTTTTCATCAGTATTACTCCAGTAAATAAATAGCAAAAATATCTGTTAATTGGGTGAAAATACAAAACAAAAGCATGTTTTTTTCTTATTTTATCACTAAACTTACTTTAAAAAAAATCTAAATTATATATAAGTATAGTGCTCAGCATATATAAGTACACCCCTCACAAATCTCTTTCAAATTTATATTTTTTTTTTTAAAAAAAGAGGAAAAATTAACAGGAGCAAATAAATTGAAATATTTAGTTTTTTTGTTGGTGTTATTTCTTTTGCAATATTTTGCTTGATTTTAATTTTATTATCTTTCAATTTCTAAATATGTTTGGTGACTAAATTATTATTTTAATAAATATATCTGTTTAAAAAATCAGTTTTGATTAAATGCACCAAAAATACATTGCCTATGTACACTGAGAAATGGAAAAAAATATTTATTTTCAAAATGGGGTGTACTCAGGAATGCTGAGCACTATATATGCATATATAGTTGAAGTCTGAATTATTAAACCCCTTGAACTATTAGCCCCCCTGTTTATTTCTTTCCCCAAATTTTGTTTAACAGAGTTAAACATTTAACATTTGCCATGATGACAGTACATACTATTTGACAAGATATTTTTCAACACATTCTTCTAAAAGTGTCTTAAAGTCTTAAAGTGACATTTAAAGGCTTACCTAGGTTAATTAGTTTTACTAGGCAGGATAGGCTAATTCGGTAAGTTAGTGTATAACGATAGTTTGTTCTGTAGACAGTCGAAATTTTGATTTTTTTTTTAATTAAAACTGCTTTTATTTTAGCCAAAATAAAACAAATAAGACTTTTTCCAGAAGAAAAAAATATCATCAGACATACTGTGGAAAATTTCCTTGCTCTGTTAAACATAATTTGGGAAATATTTAAAAAATAAACAAAATTTAAAGCGGGCTAATAATTCTGACTTTAACTGTATATATGTATATGTATATATATATATATATATATATATATATATATATATATATATATATATATATAAATGTGACCATGTGACACTAAAAAGTATTAGAGAAAGATGATGTGAGACTAAAGATAAGAGTAAGGTTCGCTAAACATTCAGCTTTGCATCAAAAATATTACATTTTAAAATATATTAAAATAGAACTTTATATTTAAAATATATTAAATTGTATATAGTTGTACTGCATTTTTTACCAAACAAATTAAGCCTTGATGAGTAGAAAAATACATTATTTAAAAATAAACAGATATTTTAATCATTCCAATCATTTGATCTTGTGTATAGTGTCTGAAGACTAAAAAAGGTCTGGTTCAGTGCAGTGCTGATGGGGTAAAGCAATCATGGCTAAGCACAGATGGACAGTTGAATGGCTGATTGACTGTGACTGGTGATGGTATTGATCTGGAGGGTGATTGAGTGAATGAGCTCAGCCTGAGTTCTTGGCTACTTCCAGCCAGAAGACTCAAAGCTCAGGCCAGCGGTCACTGTGGCAACAGCTGCACGCATCACTGCCAAATCATCACTCTGGAAAACTTGTTCCAGGAACAGCTGTCACTCACACTCTGCGCTCCAGAGAAACGGACAGATGATTGCTTCAGCTTTCAGTTCTGTCATTTTTAAGAGTAAAATGTCTGACACTTACTTTAAGAAGGGAGTATACAGTAAATGTACAGATTCATGTGGCACAAAACACTGATTTGCTCATTCAGACCCTTAAAGGGAAAGTTCACTCAAAAATGAACATTTGTTAGTAATTTGTTCACCCTCAGGCCATTCCAAATGTATTTGACTTTTTTGTTTTACTTTAGTAGAGCGTTAAAAGAAGATTTAGCTGAAATATTTAATTAATTTTAACGAAATCATTGGCTACTGGCACTATGAGAGTCAAAAACAAGTTTTTTGTTAATTTTAAAAGGTGTGTTTGTGCGAGCGCTTGCTTCACAGCTCTGTCGTTACTGCGAGAGGTTTCTTTATTTATTTATTTTGGAGATAATACAATATAGGAATACAACAGAAAGACATAAAACTTTACAAATCTCGTGTCCACTTTTGTACTGTCATAGATCTAGATCAGGGGTGTCCAAACTCAGTCCTGGAGGGCCGGTGTCTTGCAGATTTTAGCTCCAACTTGCCTCAACACACCTGCAAGAAGGTTTCTAGATAGCCTAGTAAGAGCTTGATTAGCTAGCCCAGGTGTGTCTGATTGGGGTTGGAACTAAACTTTGCAGGACATCTGCCCTCCAGGACCGAGTTTGGACATGCTGATCTAGATAAAATAAGCTGTAGGCTACAGAAATCATTTAAAGAATTACAAAATATCGAATATAATAAAAACTAATTAAATAATTTAACCAATTGAAAACAAACAAAAGCTATTACAATTTAGGTATAATTGATACATAAAAATTAAACTGTTTCAAGCCATTTGAACTTTTAATTTACAAATCTGAAAAAAAAGATTTTTGATCATTTCTAAAAACAAACGACGAAGGAGTTTTAAAATGTTATTTCTAAAGTATTTGGATACAATGACATCAAATTGTGCAAAAATAAAATCATCAAATTTGGGTGAGCAAAACCATCAGAAAATACCTTTCAGTTCCTTTCTGTCATCCAGTCCTGCACTGCTTTATAAAAGGATTGGGAAAAACTGCACGAAAATATGTGTTCTATGTCCTCTAACAAATGTTTCCGTTTTTATAGGATGTGGTAAAGTTTAATAATTCAGTTGTAAATGTAGTGCTTTATCAGAAGGATATTAAATATTTTAAATCGTAATTATGCTAAGGGAAGAATCAGTCTAGATGTGCCATTCTGCTGAAACAAGGATGTTATATAAAAAAAAACGTTTTGTACAGAGTCATTACCTGATCAATTCTGCGGTTTTATATTATAGATGATGATGCGCTGGGTCATCTTTCCATTAGTGGCGAGACTACTTGATGTACCATGTCCATGCCTACAGTCCTTCTGCGAGTAAACATAAATAATAAACATACAAAGGTCTATGCATTTAGACATATAATGTAATGCTGTAGAGTAACATGTCATTAATTGAGTTTGCTCCATTTTAATCGTTTCGTGATGATGCGATGCTGGGCTTGGTCTGCCTGATTCATTTGGTGTTCTGGGGGAGGGGTTTGCATGTTGCGCTACGACTTTTTGGCTTGACAGTAGAAACACAACATGATTTTAGCCTTACTGTTCAACCTCCTCGGCCTGGCCCGATAAAAGCCCTGGCTCACACTGGGCCGACAGTGGAAATGCGGCTATTGAGGTCTAATGAAGCGAATCAATCAGTCTGTTCAAGAAACAACATCTGTCTTTATTTGACAGGAAGCTTGTGTTCAAGAGTGTCTTAATTGCACTCATGACCTTTGGTTGAGGCTGTGGATTATAGGTAATGAAAGGGGTGGGCACTTTGACCAAATTTCTATTTCACGGTATGAAGGATTTTTTTATGGTAATAATATATTTCACAGCATAGTAATTTAAGTAGGTAATTATTCCAGAAAATTAAAAAAGGTTAATGAATTTTGCTATAATAATGAATTTTGTCGTTCATGTTTTACATTTTTCTCAATTATTTAAGCTATTAAATTGAATTCTAGAACCTTGATCTTTCTCCCAACAACTTTAACCTTAAAAATGTCGAAAAAAGGGACTTTTATTGACATTTTTATTAGTTTAAATTGATATACTGTCTGGGTTGGTGTTGCATATGCTACAAAAACCTTGTAATAAACTTCCAGTATATTTTCTGTTATTTTACACAATTGTCTAATGTATATATATTATTTCTTACTAAAATGTCAGTAAAAGTCACTTTGTTAAACTTTAGAGTTGAATTTTCAACATCAAAAGTCAACAGAGCAAAGATCAAGATCAAGGTCTCATAATGCATTTCTGTGAATAAACAGAAAACACTTGTGAATCATTAATTAACAGATATTTTGATAAAAGTCTAATAGAGATACAGAATATTGGATTATTGGATTATTTCAAACTCCTTTTAGCAGAGCCGATGCTTATATCTTTTCCGTCTTTGTGTTTTAAACAATTAGTAATTCAGAGAGTCAGGTTTGACATTTTTATTCGCCTTAAGTGTTAGCTTCTCACAATAAATGAAAATCAGACATGGTTTTATGACCCCCAGCTGATGCGTCTTTCCTAGAAAGAACTAACATACTTATTTTCATTTTTATCAGTGTAACACAGCAGCCCCTGAATAAATCTCTCACAGGGCAGGCACTAGGACCCAGCGGGAGGCTGCTAGGGAGCGATGTTGTAAAGAAAAAGGATTATTAGAGCAGATACCGAATTAAGCTCTGAATGATTGGTGTCAATCAATAAGTCAATCCTTTTTTCCTATATTTTGAGTTTAATGGCTCAGTCATGTTACCGGTCGAGCATTAAGACCTGGGGGAGGCTGTTAGTCTGCAGAGGCGTATTTTTGCTGTTTGTTCACACTAGTAATTAGAATGAGCTAAATTGACACAATTCTTCTGTTTTTGTGGGACAACTTAATTTTTTTTTTATGTTTAATCCAATTAATCCAACTCTTTTATGATTAAACCAACCAAACATCCATCCATCCAACCATCCATCCATCCAATCAACCAACCAACCAACCAACCAACCAACCAACCAACCAACCAACCAAAAACCCATTCATCCAATTATCGAATCATTCACTGACACATTTTTGTCAACAATGCAATTCATTCATGAATTCTCTCAAATTACCCATATTTTAATGAATGAATCACTGAATAATTATTTACTCAATTTGTTCAAAAATGTTTATTCATTCAGTAACAAAATGACCCCCTATGGTTAAGTCAAAGAATCTTTCCCTAAAATAATTTTAACAATGCCAAGTCATTCCAGAATTCCACCAAGTAACTTTTTCTTTTTAATTTGCTGAATAATTTACTTGTTTGTATGCTAAATAAGTTGGTGGTTCATTCCGCGGAGGCAACCCTCAGATTAATAAAGGGACTAAGCCGAAAAGAAAATGAATGAATAAACTTGATTTTTTTATGTTTGATCCACTTAAATTTTTTTTTAATTAATAAAAAAAATTAAGCCAATTAC